GATCCACAGTTGGAAAAACTGCAGGCCGTTGTCTTTTGGGCAGAGAGGTGGGTAACATACAATAAAAATATTCCATCAAGTTCTTCCCTCTTTTGACACATGTTCTATGGTTGTTCCTTATCTTTTACGACCCTCTTATCCTATCTTCACTCTCTCCCCCTTTCAAAAGTGAACCTGCAGATCTCATAGTACAGGGTAGTGGGCAGGGGCTAGATAAACCAGTATTTGAACTCCTGATTCCCTTACTTGTCCATAGTCACAAAGTTAATACATTACTCACCCTCTCTGTGCCTGTTTCCCTCATCTGTAAAAATGGAACAAAATGCCCTCCTCACTGACTGTTGTAAAAATTACATGAGGTAAGGTATGATTGCTATTATTATTTTAATTTACCCATTTAATTATTTATTGAGAACTTACTACTCATCAATCATTGTGCTAAGTATTTGGGGATACAGCAGTGAAACAGACAAAACTCTCTGCCCACATGGAACATAAACTCTATTACTATTTGTCTTCTCAGAGTTTAATCATAAGGTAACAGGCAATAGAAGAGAATCTAATTCTTATGGTCAAAGAGGTTAACTCCATTCAAGTTTCCTGGCAGAGATGAGACACTTTAAACCACCCACATCGTGTCTTTCACTGGATTCATTCTGGCATAAATATGAAGCTCTAAATTTCTACATATACCTGATTTTGTTGAGATCCATTAATCCTAATCTCTTAGATTAAAATTTTTTTTCCCATTTAACTTGATAAACTCTAATTCGTGTCTCGTTAATTTGTTTATATTAGTTCTTTTTCTTTTTCCATGATATTAAACATTTGCTGTTACTTAAACTTTTGCTGTTACTTTACTTAGACTTTTGACAGGGGAAAATTCAGTAACCGGGTTAATGAATTTCAAACAGGAAATCAATTAGATTTATTAAGCTAAGTTTGATAGTGACCTGAATTTAACTCTCTGAATTTATATGACTGGCATCACATTAACCAAATCAGTATGATGCATCACATAACGTTTCAATATTAGGAATTTGATATCTTATTGAGCCATAAAATAGGCAAAAGTGCCACACAAACATCAAAAAGCCACACTCATGTAACTGGCACATATGAAGGTAGTTTCAAACAAATAATAATTTTAAATTATCCCAGATTTTCTCAGAGAAATTCAATATATCAAAAATACATAAGAAGTTTTTACTTCAGATTTTAAATACGTCAAATACTTTGCCGGAAAATAGTAAATTTTGATTCAGCAATGCTAATTATTGCCATATCTTCTTTCATTCTACTAAAAAGTTTAAGCATGTGAAGTACTGTAAACTGTACAATATTTACCTTTATGCATGTGGAATTAAAAAAGAAATAGCAGTCATTTCCAACTTCTGCCATTTTCAACTCTCTTGCGGCTAATCCAATGTTTGTTAATATAAAAATTGCAGGAATACAAATATAAGAACTATCAGTGTGTAAGGGGGAAAAAATTTCTTTTCCACAGTCTTTCAGGCTATCAGTAGTATTCCTTTAAAACTGACCTCCTGTTGACAGTATTTTACACAATAGATAATTCTTAAAGAAATTTAAATTAGAAGATACCTTCTCTAGCTTTGCAGAAATGTTGAAAGTGGTTGCTAGTAAGCACAAACTCAAACTTCCAGAATTTTCCTCATTGTTACCTAATCCATTGTTTGCTCATCAGAAATGACCTCACATGTAACTGTAGTCTAGTTTGCCTTGGTGAATACTTTACAGCATTTCTCTTACTCAATTCTAGTATGTTAACCAAAAAAGGCTAGTAAAAATAAAATAGTATATTTTATCTTTTAATGTTCTGATTGAATATGGAACATTAAGTTCATAATTTTATAATTAAAAATTATTAAGTATTTCACAAGTAAATAGCTATTTTCTAAACCCTCTTATTTCTATATATGGTTTGGAAAGAAAACTAAAACTTTTAAATAGGTAAATACACTATCTATATTCCAAGATAATAAATAAAATTACTTAAATATGTACTCACTGATATCCACTGATTTGGAAAAAATATCATTCAGATTGTGATCTTTTAATTGGTAGCTGAAAATAAACTGGACTATTTATTCATCTTGTAGCTATATTCCATTCATTTTTCATCCATCATAAAAGGAGGAATAGCTTCTTCCTATAGCAGCAAGGTTCCAGACGGTTTGCAAATTTTTAGAATTTGTTGAAAGCAGAATGAAGTGCTCTGATTCCTACAATGAGACATTTCAATTGGCAGTTACTGAGGCCTTTCTTCATCTTAGTATCTTTACTAAAAGAACTAGAACCTAGGAGAAATTAATAAAAATATTCACAGTAGGTGACTTAGAAGATGCCGTAGAGATGACAGATTACAGTAGATCAAAATGTATTTTTAAATTGCAATGTACTTTTAATTGGAAATTTAAAAGATCAAGACATATGGGTTCCCATTTTAGCTAAGTAAAACAGACTAAGTCAGTGTGAACTTTCTTGATACTTTAGGGTAAAAATCTAGGAAATAAAATAAGAAACTAAAATTTAGAAAAGAGTTGTTTGCCGATAACTGTAAATAAGAGAAAATAATAAAAAGAACTAGGCAGTATTAGAAGTAAATAAAGAATAAAGAATAAAGATTTGGCTAAACTCTTGAACATATTAGCAAAGATATATAGTAAAATCTAATATCTTGCCTTTTATTTTGGCCTACCTTCTAACTCTAGAACAACAAAATATCCATTTTAAGCACATGGGTTACTTGTGCTTACACCCCTAAGAAATATCTTTAAGTGGTGTTTGCCTCCAGATAAACTCTCTCTCTACCCATGAACGTTAGCTGCATTGGACTATTGGACTATTTCAACTACTGTTACAAAACACCATTATTGCATGATTACATGTAACATGATTAAAGCCATTGTGAAAAATCCATGTTTTACATAGGAGAAAGGCTGAAAAAATGTTTTTACCTATTCAGTTCATTGTGAGTCCATTAGACACAGCAAAAACAGGTCAAGCCAATTTTTTTTTTGTCATTGCAAAGAACAACAAATAGATCTGCACATTTTGGTAGTCTTTGGAATGCCTGGAGCCCTAATTTCTTCTTGTTCTTCTTCTTTTTTTTAAACTCTCTTTTCTTTTCCTTTTCTTTCTTTTCTTTATTCACTTCTTTCCTGTTGTGAAATTCATTCTAGTCTTTCAAGGAAAACTACGACCACATCCATGAGGATTTTTACTCCCCGTAATGAAGAGTATGGGAAATTTGCCTCTGCAGCTGGCGGTAGGCCTGAAAATTCTGTAAGTGTTTTGTGTTGGCCAAGGTAGACTCACATTGAGTGTCTTTCATCTGGTGCATGCTAGAACACTAGCACATCAATCAGAGAAGAAAGTTTTTCTTCCAGCTTTTAAAATCCAACAGCACCACTTTAAGTACCGGGACTGGTAGTCTCCTTGCTGGCTCTTCAGGCTTATGAAAATCAGGCAGAGCTGCTGGCTGATACCCATCAGAGCAAGAGTCCAGTTTATAGCTGTGAATTGGACCCGCGGCTCTCTCCTGGCTTGGACTCAGCTGTTTCTGCTAGAGGCTTTGCTCCAGGCACCGCTGAAACCAAAGCACTGGAAATAAAGAGTGCTTCCTGAGGAATGGTTAGCCTCCCTAACCTTCTAATGTTTTAGAAGATGATCCTTTCTCAGAAATGACAGAATGTTGGACCTAGAAGATTCTGTGGCAGTTTGGGAAATGACAGTTGATAGTCGTGAGGGTTATTTAAATGTTGTCCCCTTGAGACCCATGAAACAAGCTTTTTAAGATTCTTCTGGAGGAACAAAAAGTCACTTGGACTTGACTCTAAAATGCTAAGAAGTTTCTAGTCCCAAGATCTCACAGCTGGCATCAGGTGTTTTATTCCCCTTGCCCTGCTTTAAAATTTCTTTTGGCCCTTTTGTATTTCCAATGAGAAAATGAAAGACAGCAGAAGAGAAAGTAAATACTTTGAAATGGCAAATCTCTTCTTCCCTCCCTCCCCTCTGAATCAAGTAATCAAAACAGTGAATTTTTTTTTAGGGATATTTTATTCTTCGGGAACCCCTTTATAAAAAGATACCTCCAAGTGAGACATAGTTGTTTAATTTTCCAAGGGCTAAGTCAGGAAAATGCCAGACAGTATAATACTTGCGCATAAGACAATTGTAGAAATGAGACCTGGGCCTTCACCAAGCACATAAAATATGGCCGTAGTCAAAACTCCTCTAGTGATGAGTACTAGCTTCAATGAGATACAAAGCCTACTATTACTAAATATTTTTTATTTTATTCAGTCATTGACTGTCTTATCACTTACCCTCCAATATTCTTTGGAGCAATAGGTCAAATAAAGCCGCAGTTGCTTGACTACGACTACTCAAGCCATTTGGACTCTGTTGGAGCTCATATTTAAGATAAATGGGACTCCTAAGACAAAAATTGTTATTAAAATCTGGTTGTTGTTATTCGTGAGGTTTTGGATTAGTCTAAGGCTAAACTTTGCCCTCACTGCAGAAAGAACATCAGAACCAATTTCGACCATATTATGCTACACAATGAGGCTTAATTTTCTTTCTGGTCCCAGGTGTTTTAATTGTAGCGTTTTCTAACATTCTTCCTGGGAAATCAGTTGTCATTCGACCTGGGGGCGTCTCTGGATATTTCTAAACTTCTACAGAGCTTCCCTCACGAACTTATCAAAGAGAACAGGCAAGTAGGTTTCATCAGAATGGTGTTAAATCGCCAGCTGAAATGATTCGTTACTTCTAACGTGGTATTATTTAATTTTCATAAATATCATCGGTTACTGAGTGTGGTTTAGTACGCACACCTCAGAAACGGATCTTTGTTTTCTCATGGTCGTCAGAACCCAGGAAAACACTCGCCGGAGCGCACGTGGGAGAGCCTCGGCTTCCGCACTACAATTCCCAGAAGGCGCCGCGGCCGGGAGGCTGCTTCCGGGCGTGGAGGGACGCAGGGGCGCAGCCTCGGTGCCTGGGCGCCGAGCGTGCGTGGTTTCAGCTCTGCGGTGGATGCTGTGGCTGCTCGTCCGTGCGAGACTCGGTGCCGTGCGGACGGGCGAGCTTCGCTCGCACTGCTTTTTGAGCCCGCCATGAGGCGCCTGGGCTCGGTGCAGCGGAAAATGCCGTGTGTGTTTGTGACGGAGGTGAAAGAGGAGCCCTCCAGCAAACGGGAGCATCAGGTACCGAGGAGAGCGGGGCCCGGGGGGCCGCAGGGGGCTCCTCCCCGCGGCGCCGGCGGCGTTTGAACCCGGGGAGGGCGCCCGGGCGCGGCGGAGGCGCCCTGCAGGCCCGGAGCTTTTTGCAGGTTTGGCTGGCGGGTGGGTGGCGGGGGCGGGAGTCTAGGAGAGGGGTCTTCTGTCCCCTGAGCGCCAGGGTCTTGTCCCTTCTTAGCTGCAACGGAGGAAATATGCGAGAGAATTTTTCTGACCGGGCAATTCAAACTTGCCCTCGCGTGGAAATTGAAAACCCACATCTTAAATAATGTTCCTTTCTTCTCAGGTTACCACATTTTGGGGAAAACTCCTTAAGCAGTCACATAATCTCCGCAGTCCAAGCTTTACTGCTTTTGAAGAGTGTGGTGCATAGTGGAGAGTTTAGACTTGCCTTCCCTGTTCTAGCCTGGGCACAGATGGCAGTGTTGACAGCTAGCCTAATTAGGTCACTCAAGATCAGACCTCATGTGTTGTTACCAGTGATTACCCGCTTGGTTCTAACTTTGGTGTTCCCATCTCAAGGTTTTCTGTTCTTCCAGCACCGTGTTTTAACATAGGGAGCCCTTAGTAAATACAGATGAATTAAGAGTAACCTGTATCAGGATGATTCTTTAATATATAGCGAAGTCCTTGATAGCAGAATCTCCAGTTAGCAGCTGGCTGCTACCAGCTCATCATACAAAATCAGCCTTTGCGTTTGACATCGACCCCCACCGCCCTTACATCATTCGCCTGGCCTTCTCCTGTCTTCCAGACTAAAAGACCTTTAAGACCAAGACTGCCCTGTTATCTCTAGTCCCAGTTCTAGGACCTGACACATGGTAGGCACTGGATAAATATTTGTTGAATTAAAGAATGATGCCTGGAGTCATTTCATGCCAGTTTTCCATTCACCGTGACACTTGTTACCTTATAGCATCTGCTCTTTCCCTCCTTTCTCCTGCCACCACTGTTCTTACAGTTCTTAGTATTTGTGCCCTGTTTATTGCACTACCTAGTTGTTCTTATTTGCCACCCAGACTGATGATTATTATGTTCTTTCCTAGTAAAAACCTTACACTTAATACTCAGTATCTGCAGCAGTAGTTGTCACGCGTCTATTTTTTAAGCCCTAACAAACCTAATTCGTATGAAACACTCATCCTGAATAGTGGTTCACTGTAGCTGTGATTTTCAAGTTTGTATGGTGGGGGGTGGGGGTAGTTTGGAAAAGTACCCTCCACCAGGAAAAATAAGCCCCTTCTCTTGTCTCTCTGCTGTTAAGAATAGCATATAGTATTGTTTATAGCATAGCATCCAAATCCTTATCTGTTAAATTCAAGGCTTCCCATTAATCAGGCCCAGTCTACTCTCTAACCTCACTTCAGGTTAGAGAACAGAAGTCTGTGTTCTTGCAAAGGCTGTTTCATCCTGGGAATGTACCAGGTGCAATCCTGTCTCTGTATTTTTGCTCAGCCTGTGCACTCTGCCTGGATCACCTCCGGAATTTTTAATTTTTCAAATCAGACCTTCTCTATGAAATCTTTGATCAACTTCGTCATCCCAGTGATTTCCCCTGCCCAGAAATTGTAAAGGACCGCTCAGTTGATACTATTACTTTTTGTACACATATGCCTTGTTTTTCCAGTCATAGTTTAAAGTCTAATGAGAAGTAGAAAAGGAGAACTTTGTGTACCCCTTGCTATCTTATGTTGTCCTTTGGACGTGTCTGTAGCAAAGAGTGGTAGATAATTGATTCCTCTGGAAGGGATACCTACTTATCAAGAGCTCTGTGGGCAGAATAAACTCCTCCCTAGGGTCTTTGATAAATGTACACACACACACACACACAGATTGTTATTGGGCCAAACCTTGGTTCTGCCACCACAGATTAAGTTGATATCCTCTGATACTCATGTCATAAGTTAGTGATAAATCCCCAGTCATTCAGTTTTATCTTAAAAGTACTGAATCAGTACCAGAATGGGGCTAATTCCCTAAATTTACCTGACTCTGAAACAGTACTTCCACTTATTAGTCTTAAACCTATACATACCAATATAATGTTTATACTGTGCAGTGTTTTTTCACATTATGGGTGATAAATGTTACTTCAGATAATTTACACTATAAAACAATGGTGTAAGTCTTTCTCAGAAATGAAAATAAATTGCAGATAAAAAGTAGGAATCGTAGAAACTGTCTTTTCCTCTATTCTCGATGCTCTTTTGGCTTGTCTTCCTGACAGTAGCAAAACCATAAATGAAATACGCAAACAATTTACTACTGATAAAGCTGAGAGGATCCCCATTTGTTTTTCTCCTCAGCACTTATCATACCTAACGTTGTGTTATGCATTTTGCTGCTGCGGTTGTCTTCCTGACTTTTGTGTGCAGGCAGGTACATTTGTGTGCACCTCTTATTTCCCAGTGCCAAGGATAGTGCTTAACCCATAGGAGGCGTTTAGCAGATAGTTGTCAAGTAGCTGATTGAACATGCTGCACACCTGTGCTGGGAATGCAGCGCTGCACTGGACATGATTCCAGTGTCAAGCCCATTATGGTGGATAAAGAAATGTGAATAATTACAAATCTGTGTGGAAAATCAGGTATTGCTGTGATAGCATAGAAGGAAGAAGGTGAATCATGAGACTGCGTGGAAGAAATATTTTTAAATTGTCTTGAAGGATCAACAGAAGATTGTCCCTTAGAACTAGTGAAATTAAGAACATTCCAGGTGCGAATGTGTGTGAAGTCATAGACACTATCTTAAACCCATTTTCTCTCTCTCTTTTTTAAGCCATTTAAAGTTTTGGCAACTGAAACTATAAGTCACAAGGCGTTAGACGCAGATATATACAGTGCAATTCCAACAGAAAAAGTGGATGGAACATGTTGTTATGTTACTACCTACAAAGGTAAAATGAAACTATACTACAAATATTACTTATTTTTCTTAATCACTTTGCAAACTATATATATCTGAAATGGAGCATCTGCTCTTCATAAACCCTTGGAAACCTAAGTATAATAATAAAGTCACAGTTGTTATATTATACTTATATCATTGTATCTTAGGGGAGGAAAGGAAGGTAACTAACATTCACTTCATTCCCATTAACGGCAAGATGGTATGATAAATGCTTTATACATGTTATCTCTAATTTGCACAATAAGCCTCTCCATTTCACAGATATGGAAACCGAGGCTCAGGGAACTTAAATAATTTGTCCCAGAACTTATAATTAATGAATGGCTAAACTGGTAATAGAACTTAGGTTTTTCTGACCCTAAAGCTTGTTCTTCTTCCGCTGATTCCATTGTTTTATTACTGTTGGCACTGTCTCTGTTTCATTTTAATGTACTTTAAAAGAGCTAGAAACTCAAATAGAAGTTGTCAGCTGTGTTAAGAAAAAACATGCATTGAAAAGAGAGAAATAATCTTTGTGATTTCTTCTGGATGAAATTACCTCTCAATTCCAGCAAGAGAAATAGAACAGTTAAATGAGAATTGGACACATTCCTGGTATCAGGAAATCTCTTCTGAAATGCATTTTTTTTTTTCATTTTTGTGATAAAATACACATAACATAAAATTCACCATCTCAACCATTTTTAAATGTGCATTTCTGTGGTATATACCGTGCACATTGTTGTGTAACCATCATCACCATCCATCTCCAGAACTCTTTTTCATGTTGCAAAACTGAAACTCTATACCCATTAAACAACTCACCATCTCCCCTCCCTCCAGCCCTGGCAACACCATTCTATTTTAGTCTCTATGATTTTGACTACTCTAGATAACCTCGTATAAGTGGAATCATTCAGTATTTGTCTTTTTGTCACTAGGTATTTCACTTAGCATATCGTCATCTTTTTTATCCAGGTTTATCCACATTGTAGTACATGTCAGAATGTCCTTCCTTTTTAAGGCTGAATAATATTCCATTGTATGTTTATATCACATTTTGTTTCTCCACTCCTCCATCAATGTACACTTGGGCTGCTTCCACCTTTTGGCTATTGTGAATGATGCTGCTATGAACATGGTGTACAAATATCTCTTCGAGACCCTGCTTTCAATTCTTTTGGGTATATATCCTAAAGAGAAATTGCTGAATCATATGGTAATTCTATTTTTAATTTTTTGAGGAACTGCCATACTGTTTTCCATAGCAGCTGCACTGTATACATTCCTACCAACAGTGCACAAGGGTTCCAGTTTCTCCACATCCTCACCAACACTATTTTGTTTTTTTTTTGATAGTAGCCATCTTAATGAGTGTGAGTGAAATGCATATTTTATGTTTACTAGTAAAAAGAACAAAACCAGAAATGACAATATAATTTTCATCTGGTTCTTCATATTATTTATTCAGATAACTAATAATACAGAATGTCTGAACCAAACTATAATTAATAATTTTTTAATCTCTGATTTATATCTTTGAAGCAATTGTAAAAGATTTTCAGGCTTTTCTATTTCTATTAAGAAACTTCACTGTGCACCATTATGTGTGATTATGTATAATGGTGGCAGTTAAACAAGGTTGGATTGCTATAGAAAACTTACAGGACTCAAAATGACAATGCTTACAAATCCACAGTTTATCACAGGTAAAGAACACAATAAAGCAAGGGCATTAAAAGTAAGTACATCACAGCCAAAGACTATCTCACAGCAAAGGGTCTGGAGAGGCCAGCTGAGCTCCTACTGTCCCCCTCATCTGCACCCCCACCCCCACAAGGTCCTGGCAAGACACACTTTCTCAAATCAGAAACCACTGATGTATGCAGGGAGCACCAGAAACAGGGAATCCAAGATGGAATCGCAGCTGGGGCTTTTTATATCTTGCTGGCGTGAAGGCATCTTCCTGCTAAGTAACCAGCCTCGCAGCAGAGCCCTCCAGCCCTCCAGGAGTCTTGCTGAGACCAGGTGCAGCTCATTAGTCTCGCTGTTATCAATCAACAACGCTGGCACACTGCGCTGAAGCTTCTCAGATCTTGGATTACAAAGCAGCACGCTATTAATCAGCGTTTCATGCCTTGACCAGGGGTCAGAGCCATGCAAAGCAGCTCAGCCTCATGCCAGATTTTCGGGAATTAACTCTCATAGCACATAGTTATAATGTTTCAGGGAAGGTGTGAATACAATTACCTGGTTATGTTTCCATTTAGTGTAGACGTAGCTTCAGTTTCTCACAAATGCTAGTTACTAATCAAGTGTAGCTGTGGAATGTCTTCATGAAAGGGTCACATATTTACTTTTTATCTCATCCTCATCATTCTTTAACCAAAGACTTTAAGTCTTATGACATCAGGTACCCCTCGGTAGGATTTGTCTGTTAGGCTGCGTATTTCCCTTTGTCTTCTAAGGTTGCTTCTCTTGGAGAAGATGACCCTAACGGTTCACTGAAAAATTTCATTCTGAAAAGTCTTTCAACGTAAGTTTTGTTTGCCTCTTAATACTTTCTTTTCCTTTTATTATTATTTTTTTAGGTCAGCCGTACCTTTGGGCTCGGCTAGACAGAAAACCTAACAAACTAGCTGAGAAAAGATTTAAAAATTTTCTACATTCAAAACAAAACTCAAAAGGTGAGTGGGTCTTTTTTTTTCTTTAGCTTTTCATGATTTAAATAGCTGAAATTTGTGACTTTTTGCTATGATATTTCTATACATTATATCCTTCTGTACAATTTAAGCACTTTGGGAAAAGAAGAAAATTATAATTGAATATCTTTATATGTAAAAGAATATTCTTGAAAACTATTTTAAATGTTTTCCTGACATTTGTGACTCTTCTTTATAGTATGTCGATTTTACTAACACATACAAACTATTATATATATATTATGAGTGACATTTTGATTTTGTCTACCTAAGGGACAAACATGTAATTTTGTAAATCAGGCACAAATCTCAAAGGATTATTAATATTTTTAATTATTATGTTAAAATGCCACTGTTATATAAGTAGATATATACACTCATCATTGTGTATTTACTCATATATATAATCTTTATATATATGTATTCAGTGTATTAAAAATTCATCATAAATCTACACATTCGGGAACATTGGCTACTTTACGCTGTTATCCACTATTTACAAGTGGTAATGTGTTCAAAATTGGAAACATAAAATGTTAGTACCCTAACCCTGAGAAATATAGTCACATTGTGGAGATAATGAATGGAGAGTAATTATATGACACCTGATATTAGGGGTTTATTAGCTGTTCCCACTTGGAATTTGTTCAGTATATTTTTTAAAGTATCACCACATTTAAGATTATCTAACTCTTTTAGAATTTTTTTGGAATGTTGAGGAGGACTTCAAACCTGTTCCAGAGTGCTGGATACCAGCGAAGGAAATAGAACAATTAAATGGGAATCCAATGCCTGACGAAAATGGACACATTCCTGGTATTATGAAATCTCTTCTAAAATGCAGTTTTGTGTTTACCAGTATGAAGAATGAAAGATCCATTCAGTCAGAAATTACAGAATTTAATTTTATGGTTCTTCATAGTATTTATCTGTATAGCATAAAATTTCTGAGTCTAATTTATGTTAAGTTGAACAATTTATACTAAAGATGTTTCATATCAAGAATATCCTCTCAGATTGAGAATCTTTTCTAGGATGGGCAGTTTACTACCTATAGTCTGTAAAAATAAAGTATTGAGTGGGAATAGCCTTGAAGCTGTTGTCAGGCTAGGCACTATGATCTAGTCTAAAATGAGATATTAAGAAGCCTTTACCTTTTAGAGTGGTGTTAACAAAGGGTATATGTGTATATTTTTTGCAAAAATCTTAGAAGAATATCTCAATAAAGGGAGGCGAAAATAGGTGTCTCACAAGTAGTTTTTCTGGGGATGGGAAAATTTTTGCAAAAGTGTGCCGAGTAGAAAGATACCCCAGATTAAAGTTCAGTTCGACAGGTGTGTCTTGAGTACCTATAATGTGCAAAGTACTCTTAGGTTCCAGTAATCCAGAAATGAAGATCAGAACCCTTATCCTCAATGATCTTTTAGAGATCAGAGGAAATCCATCAATAATAGTAGATTTAAGAACAAAAAGGAAAGAATGCACAGGGTACAGTCAGAGAAAAGAGGAAGAATTCCTAGTTCAACCTCTGGTTGTTAGAGGAGGCTTCTAAGGGGAGTAGACATCTGTACTGAGGCTTAAGAACCAGGAACTTAGCTGGTTAGGAAGAGGGGAAGATCAGCTTAGGCAAACTCCCACAAAGAGGAGAGATCATGGCGTTTTTTAGAGATTTTATATAACACTTCATTGTGGCTGGACTGTTTAGGGTGTATGACGTTTAAGGAGATTATAAAAGTTGAGGCTGGAGATATGGAATGGGCTCAGATCTGAAAGGAGTTTGTATTCCATCTAAAGGTGTTTCAGGTTTATTCTGAAGATGATTATTAAGCAGGGGCACAGCAGAACTAAATTTAAATTTTTGAAGTAAAACTATAATGAAAATGGGGTGGGTTTCACTGGAGGCTAGTAGACGAGCAAAGAGGTTATTACAGTAATCTGAGTGAGTAATGAAGGCTAAAGTTATGATGGTCACAATGACATATATGCCCTAGTTTGTCTTTTTTTTTTTTTTTGTAAAGAATGCTCCACAATGAGGAAGCCTATTCTGGCAATAAGAGTTAGGAGGGTAATAGCAATAACATTCAATAAATGTGGAATCAATACATTGTTCAATAAGTATTGGAACAATACAGTAAATTGTGGAACACTTACTGCATATGTCTGTTGTCCCTGAAACTGGAGAGAAGGTAGAGACAAAACTTAATAAAAAAATGTTTTAATGCCATGTCTTAGAATGGTACTCAGTTCTTACTGAAAAGGTGAATTTTCTGGTAAAAGAATGCGGATGCTCTGGTGAATAATCAAAGAGGTTAATTCCTCAACAGAATAAAAAATGAAACCTGATGATTTAGAAAAATGATTGTCATTTAAAAAGTAGTAAAACTTGTTTCCACTGATTTTAAAAGTGATATCTGTGTGATAGAACATAAAATAACAAAAATTTACAACAAAAATAAGATTACTTCAAGTCTTAATCCAAAGGAAAACAAGGTAATAAAAACCACTTTTTTCTTTAAATGATAGGTTGGGTACCAGTAGAGAAAAATAATAAACCGTATTGCTGGCATTCCTCTGTAGTTAATTATGAATTTGAACTTGCCCTGGTACTGAAGCATCATCCTGATGATCCTGGTCTTTTGGAAATTAGCACAGTGCCACTATCAGATCTCTTAGAGCAAACATTGGAGCTTATAGGAACAAATATTAATGGAAACCCCTATGGTGAGTAAAGCTTTCTTCCTGTTCAGTTACAGTAACTGTCACTTATAAAGAGAACTTCCTAGGTTTAACTTAAAAAAACACACACTCGAAAGAAATGACTAGTATTGAGTTAAATAGCTTCCTGGGATTATAGCCATTTCTGTTAATTTTATTGTCCATGGTGAAATTCATACATGACTCTAACCATTTTATTAATCCAAAAGGTTGGTTTTAGCCTCTCATTCTTTCCTGTAATAATGTCATAGAACTATGTATGAAAGGTAATTACTCAAGTGTAACTTTTCATTGCATGAAAAAATTTAGATGAACTGAGCTGACTGAAAATCATGATGTGCTTTTCATGGCTAGGTAATTAGTTTAGCATAAATTAATAGTTAAGAGTAAAGTAAATAAAGAATTGGCAATGAGTAGCACATCAAGCATCAAAATATATACCCTGATGAATTGAGTTCCAGTCCTGAGGGCACTATGGAGTACATTGTTGACAGGGGAGGACAGACCCAAGGACATTAAAGCTGGAATAGCGAAATCCTGTCTAGCAATCAGCAGACTGATTGGCCAGTGGAAGGCAGCAAAGGTAGTAATTATTCAAGGTATCAAATATGGCGTGGCTGTTTGGCAAACAGTTAATGATAATTGAATGTGGCTAATGGTGTACAGCAGGGGTCAGCAGACTTTTTCTGTTAAAGGCCAGACAGTAAACATGTAGGTTTTGTGGGCCATACCCCTGAAACGGGCCACAGACAGTACTTAAATGATTGGCTGTAGCTGTGTTCCATTGAAACTCTTTACAAAAACAGGCATCTGGCTGGATTTGGCCTGCAGGTCAGTTTGCCAACCCCTGGTGTACAGTACATGAAGGTGGAATTTCGATTTCATGGGATAAGGTGCCCTTTTAAGTGAGAGCACTTGTAGTGTATGTATCTGTCTTCAAGGAAATCAACTAAACTTTCTGGTAAATTTATTTCTAAATGTTTTTAAAGGCTTTTTTATTTGGAGAGGTAAACATGCTCATTTTTTTTTTGAAACCTTTGTATGGCTAATGGCAGATTTTTACCATTTAGGGTTAGGAAGCAAGAAGCATCCATTACATCTTCTTATACCACACGGAGCATTTCAAATAAGGAATCTGCCTTCCTTGAAGCACAATGATCTGTTGTCCTGGTTTGAAGGTTGCAGAGAGGGTAAAATTGAAGGAATAGTATGGCATTGCAATGATGGCTGTTTAATCAAGGTAATGGCAGAAAATAGCTTGTGGGATTATATCATGTTATGTTCCTAAAACAAAAAGTAGAAGTGGCACTGAAATACTCTCTACAAATTGCAGTAATTCTGATGTGCAGTGAAGAAATTTAATTTCCTCATCTCACGTGCCACCGTTCTTTATATGATAAAGCAGTGTTTCCCAGTGTGTGTTCTATGGGGCATTGGTTCTTCTAGATGTGCTTCAGAATAAAAGTGGTGAAAATGTCTGGAAAACCCTGCATACTACAGAATCCCTTCTTGGAAATTCATGTTGCACATTACTGCTTTCTGAGACATCCTATACTAACTTAGTTTAACTCAGCATTTCCCAAACTTATTTGATTATAGAATTTTTTGAGTTAAAAGAGTGCCAAGGTGACAACAGGTAATATATATAGAATGAATTATTTTACACTTTGTGCCCTGTCTCTGGACTTGTCTATCTGATTTCTCACACGCTCCTAAAATTCACAATGTTCAAAACTGGACCTAGTCGTATCAACCCCCTCACTGAAGCTAAAAACTTAGATATCATTTTTAACCCAGCTCTCCATTACTTCATATAGCCAATTATCAGTTCTTAAAAATTCTGATCTATTGAATCTGTGTACTTCTATCCAACCAGTTGGCTGTTAATTTTAATTTAAGCCAAGATTCATGCTTGAATTATTCTGTTACCCTCCTAACCATCATCTTTGTCTTACCCTGTCTTGCCCATTTTTCGTATATGAATGAGAATATTACTTCCCTGCATAAAACTGTTCAGTGACATTAAGATATTTCATGATCTGGCCCCTGCTTAACTTTCTGAAACTGCTTTCCCCTATCTCCCAAACACACTCACATTGTGTATTTTATGACCATACTTAATTAATTTAATCAGAACAAAAACACCCTTCTAGCACGACAGTCCCTTTAGTTACAATGCCTCCCTGCCCACATTTTCAGTTGGCTAACTTCTGTCCTCACCAACAGACTCTATTATTCATTAAATTGTTATGGAGCCCCTGATTATGTTCCTGGCATATTTCCAGGTGCTGGAAATACACAGTCAACAAAACAATGTCTCTGCCTTCATGAAGCTCACATTCTAATGGGGAAGATAAACAATAAACAAGTAAATATGTAGTATGTCAGGAGAACAGCTGTGGAAAAAAGAAGGGTAAGATTAAGTGGAGCCTTAAACAGTGCCTGGCAGGTGGTAGGCACAATAAATATCTGTAAGTGAATGAAGATAATATAAGCTAAAGCTAATACTCCTTTTTTTACTCTTTTCAGGTCCATCGCCATCATCTTGGTTTACGCTGGCCAATTCTAGATACTTATATGAACTCAAAACCGGTTATTATCAACATGAACCTGAACAAATATGACTATGCCTTTGATACTAAGTGTTTGTTTAATCATTTTTTAAAAATAGATAATCAGAAATTTGGTAGGCTCAAAGATATAATACTAGATGTATAAACTGGAAATGCAGTTAAAAACCAGCTTTATTATTGTTATATTAGAATCTTGAATATTCTGCCATGTTTAAAAGCTAAAAATATCTCAAGGTTCCTGTTTATTGTTCAGTGTCTAATATGTCAATGTGTCTTCTAGCATTTGAAGAAATGACTTTCCCAGTTGCAGATATCTATTCAGTATTTTATTTAGAATCAGGAAATGAATTTTAACTTCTGGACTTAAAAATGTAAGTAAGAGTAAGCTCCTCAGCTTGTACAAAGGTTGGATTCTGTCCACTATAACTGGGTAGTAATTTTAAAACAACAATTAAATCAACAATTTTAGATCATTTACTTTCAATATTAAATAGTTTAAGCTGAATTTAATCTTGCTAGACATTTAGCAACACGTGGCTCACCCTCAACCTCATATATAAATAAAATTTGAGAATCTTAACACATATATAAATATGTGTAAAACTCCAATTTTAAATGTGAAAGTTGCTAAAATTTACCCTCATACTCTTTAAAAACTTGAAACATCATGAATGTACAGAAATTTACCATAGCTCATTGCTTATTTGATAGTCATAACTTACTCAAAAATATACTTTCTAATATGTTAAAAATTTCATGTAATTTTATTTACTAAAAAATTCCAATTTAGGTAAAGGTATACAAGGTATTGGGAAGGAAATCATGTAGGTCAGAGACTTGCTTGATTTCCAGATGGAATTTTAACTTAAAAAGTTAAATAGTTAAGTAAAACTACAGTTATAGGTGGCCCTTAATAAATGGGAAAATTAACAAGACTTTCCTCTTCATCTTCAGACTGTTCACAAGCAGCAACAGGACTAGTTAATTCAACTCCAAACTGTTTAGAAAGCTTTTTTAACTTTTCTTCTAAGAGAATATTTTTTTTCACTTCTTCCTTGTAATTATACTTCAGATCTTCAATTTCTTCAAAGAACGAAGGATCAAAATTTTCCAGTTCTTTTTTCAGCTTTTTTATTTCCTCCTAATAAAAACATATTATCTTTAAAAGGTATGGATAGGAATATAATACATTCTTTAGGTTTGAACTAAAGAGATTTAATTGCAAACATGAAGGCCAAAGTAACCTAAATAGTCAAATGTACAGAAGTATTTTCTTAAGATTTTGTTAATAAGGTTTCATTGTACAGTACAAGTAACTACTTGTTAACTGTCAAATCAAAAGATTTGTTTTGTAAATTATGTCTTAGTCTTTGATTAAAATTTATCAGCTCTTAAATTAGAGAGGGAATTTAATCTTTCTCCAAAAAGTGTATCAGATACTCCCAATGAGGCACTCAGAAACACTTGGCTATTCACAACATTGAAGTTATTTTGGTTAAGATTCTTTGGTTTGGGCTTCATCTATATTTTCTCTACAAATACCTAATTTTTAATGAATAATGGTCAACTTATATCAGGGAAACTCGAGGGCTTCTGCCTGCCTGAGAGTTAGGCATCTAGAGAGAATTTGACTTTGATGACTATTTAGAATAGCCAGTGATCACTTAATTCTCACATTCATGCTCTTTTGTTCTGTTTACAGATTCTTAGATAAAACATAGCAAGTATCTTCCTTTAAGGGAACTATTCCTGAAAAGAATTTCAAAAGGAAATAAAAGACACTATTCCCAGTGTGACCTAAAACTTAAGAAAATATTAAAATAATGAGCAATATTTGTGACAATTAAAATATACATTTACTCTTTAATCCTTTGTTTTGTCTGAATTTTTTGGCAGCTGTTTCATAAATATTTTTAACACAGATGAATAAATGAACTTTGTAATATCAAGGTCAAATATAAGTATAAAATGTAATCCCAGGAATTTACAGGCTACATAATTAAAACTCAGAGATGGTGATCATAAAAATAGTTTTCATAAAACATTTATACTACTATGATTAGATATAATTACATAACTACCTTCAAATGCTGCTTTTCTAGATCTGAGGTTTGAAGCTGTGTCTCTAGGTCTTCTACCTTTTCCTTTAGTTGATCAGGAGCTGCTAAACAAATTATAAAAATTAGACTCAGCTTTTTCCCACTCTGAATAAGTTCAAGATAAAAGATTCATTTTAGAAATAAGGAGAAAACATACGAAACGTAGAGCCTGGAAAATGTGGCTTTTTATGGCTGAAAACACTTCAGACCAAACACTGTATGCTGCCTCTATCAATCGGGTATTGTGATTTCATAGCAGACAAAGAGAAGAGGCATCTGCTAGGTATTAGAAGTATAGAGTCAGGTTAATTTTTACATGGAAGAAATGATCTTCCAGAGAAAAATTCTAGAACCAAGAAAACTTGTTAGGTACTAAAAGTAACAACAAAAGAGTAAGAAGCCTTAGGTAAGGGGCGACAACCATACGCTGGGCAAATGCTCCTGTTACCCAACAGCAATGGCTATTCCCTGTAGGTCAGTACACATCTACTGTGTAATTACGCTGTGAAAAATGTGCTGGGCAGAGTGGATAATACAAAGATGAATAAGTCCTGATACTTTGGGAGAACAACGAAAGTATACAAATATAGCATAGGGGCTTTAGTTCAGTTTATTGGATTTCCTTCTCCAGAGTTAACAGCTCTAATTTTATATGGAGAATCAATAGGCAAATAGGATTTTTGCTTTAATTGCCATCTTTCCTAGAAACATTTTCTTTAAACACTACATATAATGTGTCTTGTTATTTTGCAACCATTCAAGGATACAGTTTTTTTAAAGTACTGCTGAAGTTTAAAAAAATAATGGGCAGCAAACAAATTTTCATGAATGGGACAGGGAGCATATTCTATTAAGGTGCCCTTGGAGTGGTCCCCTAATTATAAGTTGGAAACAGGAAATATTTTCCTCATCCTTTCTTATAAGTCAGCAGAACCCAAAATTCTTTGGAAGGCAGAGGAAAATCACACTTTTCAAAGCTTCTCTACCTTTGCAGAAAGTGCTAATGATTTTTCAGAGTTGACTGTCTTAAACAGTGGGATGCGATATATTATACAGATTGGTAATGAAATAATGCAGTAAAAGTGATTATTATATGTGACACTTTCCAAAAGTTACTTAATGACCACTTATATTTAAAAATAGTGCTTTAGAATTTCCAAAATAGTGTTGGCTTGATTTTGAGCCTTAATCTGAAATATGACAGGTATCCTTATCTCCTTCAAATAGGAGATAAAAGGAATGTGAGTGTTCAGAAATTCCCTCTCAGGAAACAGGTTTAGGAAGAGAGAACTTGCCTAATGTCAACAGCATTGACAGGTCTTTGGTACAGTGTCTAGTCTAGTACACCAAGCTGGCTGCTCTCAGAAAGACTGTCAGATTTACGTGTGTAATCTGAGTCTCCGAGAGGCAACGGAGCATAGTGGTCCATAGCAGGGAACGGACGTTGGGAGTTTCAGATTTGGGTTTAATCCTGCGCCTCTGCCACTTTCTGGCTGTTGTGACCTTGGAGACAGGTTACTTAAAATCTGAATCTGTTTCTCACAGGTAAAATGGAGACAAGAGTACCTACCACACAGGATTATAGAATTACAGGATGCTTATAAAGCTCTTAGCATAGTGTCTGGTACAACTCTTATATGATAGCTTGAATACTTATATGATAGCTTGATAGCTTGAAACCTGTAGCAACAGGATTATGTAGCAGGACATTGAAAAAGCTATATGAAATAGTCCAAGATTGTTCAGATAGAAATTGATACAATCATTTGGAACAGAATTTGGCATTTCCCTCAAGCTGTCAAATATACTATACATACAATCAATTCTCATTTGCAGTCGTTATGTTCTACAATGTTAACACGAACAATGAATTAGGAACTGTTGAACCACTGCTGTTAGGGGAAACATATATATTATACATATACACACACATATATCTCATGTAGATTATAATCTTAACTCCTGGAAACAACTCATCCTGGTAGATTACATTTTCTTTGTTTTAGAAAATGAGGTTCAGAGGTGTCAAATGACTCTTGAGGCTGCCCCACTAACAAGTGTCAGAGTTGGGATTTATTTGTTTGTTTGTTATTTATTTTTGTGAGGAAGACCACCCCTGAGCTAACATCCAATGTCAATCCTCCTCTTTTTTGCTGAGGAAGACTGGCCCTGGACTAGCATCCGTGCCCATCTTCCTCTACTTTATATGGGACGCCGCCACAGCGTGGCTCAACAAGTGATGCATTGGTGCGCGCCCGGGTGGCAAACCCCAGGCTGCCACCACAGAGCGTGTGCACTTAACTGCTTGTGCCACTGGGCCGGCCCCCAGAGTTGGGGGCCAGTCCAACTGGCCACACAAGAGCGTCTTGCTCTGTGCTGCACTGCCCCTTACTGTCTCCATCCTCTGGTCATCTCTATGAAAGCTGAGACAAGAAGGCAGAGCATCGCCTTGTTACAGGACCTCATCCAGGAAAGTGTGGGTCAAACAACTTAAATTTGTCACTGCTCTGTGTATGTCCAGAAAAGTGCCACAAGTACTGATCTTGGGGTTATAAGTAAATTTTAGTGATCAGGTGAATTTGCAAACGCAGAATCTGCAAATAGAATCAGCTGTTCAATATATATGTATATATATGCATGCATATGCACACAGGAATAGGGGAATGATTACTAACCACTTCTGGATGGGAATGGAAGTGGGTAGAAGGATAGTCTTGGTAAAAAGAAAAAAAAGGATACAGGCAATGTTTACTTTTATGTAGTTTTAACATTAATAACAAAAGACAATAACATTTAGAAGAAAATGTTCAGAGGGCTTAAAAGGGCCTATATTTAGAAACTGGAAGCAACACCCCTGGTATTTTCACTGCTTAGCGTTGTATGGTGGTTAAATCTGTAACACCCAGATGGAACACAAGGAGAAAAACACTTGACTACTTGCTACTCAATATTACAAACAACTCAAAGGGTTCACTGGGAATATTGTTGTTGCAGGGAGGAAAGAGCTCTAAAAAGTTCTATCAAGGATGTGACTGTATAGGAAGACAGTTATCAGAAATATGTGAACAATCAAAAAAGGCACACCCAAATTTAAAAGCTTGGGTTAGCTAACATACTATAAATGTAATGACACACATTACCAGGCATGGTGCTTTCAGCTCTGCTTGGGTCTTGGATAACTTCTATCTGATGGGTTAATTCCGCTTTTTCTTTTTCCAGCTTACTATTAGCTAATCTAGAACACAATGATAATGTGTTAAACGAAAAACAGACATCACTCCACAAAATATATGGGCACTTCTTATGAACTGTGTGATGTACAGTGCTTAGAACGTGCTGATATTTATAAAGGTAGACATTTGTTCATTTACTCGCACTGCTGCAATGCCACCATTCTCAAATAGAGATCACAGAATCAGAATTCTTCATGTTTTGATTAAAATCTGACCTGATACCATTTTCAAGAGTAGTTTTCTTATTGGGGAAGGCTCATGAGAGTGTGCTACACAGAACCCTGAAAGTAAAGAGTTTTGTTTTCTCTTTTGTCAATATCTACCTCTGGGAAGCTAAGGTTTAATACATTATGTGCTATTAAGAAAGTTTAAACTAAATTACAAATTGACACCTATATTAGTTTCTGGTTTACCCTTTTTTCAGTATTTATTAGGTAAAAGATACAGTGATTGGCATCAGAAGGAAGAAATAAGGCTGATAAGCCTATTAGACAGCAAGGTTGAAAAATCAGACTCTCTAGATATAGCAAACCTGGTTATATTAAAAGATAATAAAAAATAAAATACGAACAGATAATGTACCTAAGAACTTGAAGCTCCCGTTGAAGGTCTTGCTCTGTCTCAGCACCTTCAGGAACATGTTTGAGAATCTCAATCTTCGGGCACAATGAAAATTAGAAGGCAAAGTTTGACGTGGAAATACGAAGTTTTATAAAGATACACATTTTCAATAAAGCATGATATTAAAAGTTGGGTTTTCAAAAGCACATATGGGCACACAGCTATGGTATTCTAGTCACTATTCATTCAACAATTATTGAGTAACTACTGCATACCAGGCATTGTCCTAGGCATAGAGGATACCACAGTGAAAAGAATAGGCAAAATTCTTGCCTGCATGTTCCTGTGATCCTTAATTTTTAGTGGAGGAGGACAAACAGCATGTGATGTGGTAACAGTGCCAGATGGAAGGAAGGGGTATCAAGAAAAATAACCCAGGGTGAGAGGACAGAGAGTGATGGAAGGTGGTGTAGGGTTAGGGAAGGTCTGAGGAGCCTCCATTTAAGCAGAGACATGAAGTGAGGGAGTGAGCTCTGGGAATATTTGGGTGAATAGTATTCTAAACAAGGGAAACAAGTGCAAGGCCTTAAAGCTTGAATGAGTTTGGTTTGTCCAAAAGACTGAAAGAAGGTCAGTGTGGCTAGAACATTGTGAATGAGGGGAAAAGCAAGATGAGGCTGGAGAGGAAACCTGATGCCAGGCAGGTCCTTATAGGCTATGAAAAGAACTTCGGGGGGCCAGCCCGGTGGCGTAGTAGTTAAGTTCGCATGCTCTGCTTTGGTGGCCCAGGGTTCGTGGGTTCGGATGCCAGGTGTGGACCTACACACTGCTCATCAAGCCATGCTGTGGCAGCGTCCCACATACAAAATAGAGGAAGACTGGCACAGACGTTAGCTCAGGGACAATCTTCCTCAAGCTAAAAGAGGACGATTGGCAACAGATGTTAGGTCTGGGCTGATCTTCCTCACCCAAAACAAAAAAGAGAACTTTAGGATTTTATTCTAGGGTAAAGGGAAACCACTGGAGGATTCTAAGGATGGGACTACTAAGTTTTACATTATGCTTTAAAAGGATTATGTGGAGAATAGATCAGGGACAGGGAGAAGGTGAAACAAGGCAAGAGTGGAAGCAGGGAGACCAGTTAGGAAATTACTGCCATAGTTCAGGTGTGAGGCATCAGCCTGGACTAGACTGGCAATGTTGGAGCCACTGAGATGTCCTCAGATTTGTGATATATTTTGAAAACAGAGCTGACGTGAGTTAATAAAAAAGATGTGGGGTATGAGAGAAAGAAAGGAGTTGATGATCTAGGTTTTTGGCTTAAACAAATGGGTGAAGGGTGGTGCCATTTACTTAGGCGGGCCTTCTAGGGGCTTTTTATCTACATCAGACAATGCCAAGAGGGGCTTGAGATATAATGCATTATTTTATCATGTAAAGAAAAATTACACGACTTGCCTGTTGCTCAAGGTCTTCGGTGTATTTCTTAACTCTTTGTTCCCTCTCTGTTGCTTGTCTTACAAGCTGTTTAAGATCAGTTAGGCTTTGGGTTTTTTTGGCAATATCGGTTTCCAATTCTTTCAACTTGGTTTCATACATTCTAAAGGTATAAAGGAAAAAAAATGGTGTAGACGTGGAAAAGAATTTCTCTCACCGATTTAAAAGCCAGTTCAATTACTGCACTAAAAATAATGAAGAAAATCTTATTGTACTGTTTCTTCCAGTCAAATCTTTTGCTACATAGTGATTTAGCATTAGGTGAGAGCAGCATAAGTATCCCTAATCAACAGACAGGCCATTTGAAATAGAGGGTTTAGGTGTTTCTCTAAGTTATAAACAAGGATGGAGCCTGAATCTGACCACTGTAAAAGTTTAAAATTAAGACCTTTTTCAGTCACAAAACAAAAAAATAGAAAGTTAAGTTCATCGGAATATTAAATTCTGTATTATTGGCTATTCTTAGGCATACCGTTAAAGACCACAAATTAAAGCATTTCATACACACACATATACACACACACCCAAACATACAATAAAAAGGAGGTATGTGGGTACAACAAAACCAAAAAGACACTGCTGGAGAGGGAAAAGGTGCAAAAGCACGGGTGACAGAAATGACATATGATAGGTGAGGGGAGGGATGACGCCTGTAAAAATCTGAATCTACTTGTATCCTTTAAAGAAATGATCAATAGTTTAAAAAAAAATCCAGACTCCAAAATAAATTTTTAAAACATTGCACCAAATGGTTTTACAAGCGCATCACACGACCTTAAAGGGAGACAATGCTTATAATACCGTAACGTTTCCAGAGAAGAGGAAAGGAAGGAATGCTTTGGCAACAAAATCAGGTAAGGACAGGACAGGAAGGAAAATTATTATTATCTCAACACATTCAAAAAGTTTTTTATAAATCTTAGAAACTTAGATTAGAAGGCAACCTTCTCAGCCTGACAAAGACTACCACAGTGGGGAAATATCTGGTTCACTCCTTTACCTCATTCAATTCTCTGCTCAAATGCCACCCCCTCCGAGAGGCCTTCTCTGATCGCACCACCCCGCCTGTCCGACTGGCAGTATAAGGCCTGATATAGAAGAGGTGTCTTTAGTTTGCTGAGTAAACAATGGAGCAACTATAAAGATTTCAGCATGAGGAAGACCCAACGTGTCACGGGTCCCAAAAGAGATCTCTAAACCACTTGACTGAGCTGAGCGTTGCAATCCCAGCTCCAGAGCTTCGCAATTTTTTGATGGATTTAGGGAGGCTTGAGGCCGAGGAGCAGAATGAGCCTTCTCTCTGTCAAGTGGTTTCTACTAGGACTTATGTCTTTTTCAAAAGAGGTTACAGAAGACCTACTCTATGCTCAGTTACCTGTAGAGTTCTTGGATTAAAAACATATATATGATCTAAAATGCCAAGTCATCTTCAATTATGGTTAAATATCATCGCTCCTCTCAAATGTTTATAAACCCTTTTCATATTAATAATATTTTCTGCAGCCTCAAAGAACCCGCTTTAGAAAAGGAAGGACAGGGATTATCATCTCCACAGATTTAAAAAAAACTTGAGCTCACAGAACAGATGTAATTTACTTAAGGTTACAGTGAGAATTAGGTGTTTCTAAGCCATGTAAGCTACCTGGCTCTCTAAAGGAACCTAGGCAAAGTAGGCCTTTTAGAAATACATCTAAGAGTCTGGCACGTAGCAGGTACTTAGTAAATATCTGCTGAATAAATATGTCTCAAAGTAACTCAAATTTCTTTCTGAATCCTTGTGTGATTGTAGAAGGAAATAAAGGACCAAGCAAGAAATCAAGTGACAGGGTTGCTGGCTGAGAGCTTCTGCTGGGGTCCAAGCAGACAAAAGAAGTTTACATTACTACACGTTATTTCACTTAGCCTTCATACTAGCTCTCTGGCAGAATTAAAAGCAGGCTAGAGGTTGGGAACGTGGATTCTGAGTACTGTCAGTACGGTATGAGGACAGGAACCAAGGACCTTTCTCCAGGACTGCCTGGCCTCCTGGGCTGCCTTGTAATCTACCTGCATAACCTTTCTCTTTTCTCCTTAGACTTGGTTGACGGGGCAAGTGCAGAGCAGCCGGTCCACTATGGGACTTGCTGTAGCCTCACAGTGCTAAGGCTCCTGTACTAGCTGGAGTGATGGTGACTGCCATCCCACCCCTCATCAAGTCCACTCTAACTCTAAATAGCAGGTAGGGCAGAGGCAGCCCTCGAAGACACTGAAGGGGAAACTGGGGATGGATGGACATAAGGAACTCTATGAATATGGTAAGATAAAGATGAGCTTGCCTTTTGAAATGGGGCCAGCAGATGTAAAGAACACAGCTTCCTACACGATGACTTGAATGGGAAAGGACAGGAGCAGGATCTCATTGGTCTCTGGCCTCTATACTCCCTGAAGGAGCTATTTAAGGTTGGAAATGAGAATGACACAAGAACCTTTTACTGATTCATCACAGTCATGACGAACCACCTGTGGTGACAGCGGCAATGAACATATGAACGTTTACTTGTGAAATCTCACCACCTCTTTCATAGCCACAAAGATTGGTTTCACAGGCAAGAATCGCACATTCTTGTAGGAAAGGTTCACAGGGCGGGAGCAAATCAAGTGCCAGAAAGACACTACAGCTGCTGCTGAATTCATCTGGCAGGGCTATCTGAACAGCAAGCTGCCCAGAATGTAACTCCCAAATTGCAGCACAGCCGAGATCCAGTATGCCACAGGTATACTGACAAGACAGCTCAATGGTGCCTGGCTTACACTTGAGGTCGAAAATGAACACAACAAAGAAGCTGAGTTGTAGTGGAGAAAAGCCGCGCCCAGGAGAAGCCGGGCGCCATCAGTCCAGGCTCACGGCTGACAGCAACTTCATGATGCCCACCGGCTCCGACGCCCTCAGCCCAGCCCCAGCTCTGCTCGGTTCCACGCCCTGCCACACAAGTCAGTTAAATATTTTAAGGAAGAAAAAGATTCTTTGGCAATGCTAGGACAGAAGAAAACTAAGTGAGCATCATTTTAAACAAACATAAACATTTCATCTGGAAAGAACTAAGTTAATCAGAATAGTGTCATTTTCTTTTCAAATAATGATGGCAAAATTTAGAACTAATTAAACTTTCTGCACTTCTTAAGCTATTTGTTCCTACCTTGTAACAACAATTGATTTCCAGCTCTTGCTGTCAGCACCTTCAAGCTGTGGACCTCTACTTTCTGCAAACTGCAATCTCTTACCAGTCTCTTCTAGTTGAACTGTCATCTTCTCATTTAATATCTCTAAATTATTCTTAGCTATCCGCAATTTCTCTGCCGCTTCAGTTTCCTATCATTAAGAGCTAATTAGTATATTATGACAAAGCATAACTGTTCTCAAAGATGCAATATATTTAAAATTATCACTACAAATTAGAAAACAAAAATAAACTGGAGTTCTAAATGCTGATTAAAATTCCAACAAAAATCCAATGTTTCCTTTACTCCAAAATAGCAATATGATCATAATAATCAGAATAGCAGATCACATACATGAGGTTAAAAAAAGACATTTACAAGTACTTTACTGTAGTGCTTACTTTAAGTTTGTCATTTTCTTTTGTTTGGCTGCTTCAAATTTGTTTGTAATATTTTTAGAATAATGAGATCGCTCGTGTCTTTACACATTGAGAAGTTGTTTTGTTTTGACTCCCTAATACTTGACATAACTAGCTATAAGTACAAACTATGTGTAAGTACCAGAGATTATCTCCACTATTACACATCCACATTTAAAGCACAGTATCACTCTGACCTCACTACTGTAACTAGTTTAAAAATATCAATTTCAATTTACTCACTGGATCATTCATAAAAATAACAATACCTATTTGTCTGGAGCAAGGAATATATTTTGCTACTTAAATAGAAATTTTACTTTCTGTTTAATAGTTTCATTTACTCCTTACTGTACTTTAGGCATTGTTCTAAGTCATATGCACAAATATTACCTCACTTAAACCCCACAGCATCCCTGTGAAATAGATATACTTATTATTCCCAATCTTACAGATGAGGAAATGGAAGAACAGAGAGGAGTTAGTAGCTTGCCCTAGTTCCCACAGCTAATAAAAAATAGAGCTAGGATCTGAATCCCAGGTGTAGCTTCTACATTACACTGCCTCCTTATTACTTTTTTATTTTCAATGTTCTTCATGGTGAAAGGACTGTAGGTATGAAAACACAATTCTTAAATCTCTTAATATCTACTTTGAATAGACATCTTCATCAAGTTTTTCCAAGATGTATTAGTTAGTTAACATACAAAATAATTATAATTAGTAATCAAAGTCATACTTTTTTAAGTTCTTTACGGAGCCTTTCATTTTCAGCAAGAATTTTCTCTGTGCCTTTGGTCTTGGATTCATAGCGCATGCTCAACTGACGTCCAAGATGAACTTTAAGTTTTTCTAATTCAGCCTAGTAATAAAAAAAACTATACATTATCAACACAAGGAAATAAAATAAAAGATGATCTTGTAAATTCATAAACCTTAATTCAAAGTAGTTTTAGAGACCATATTTGACATGATTAGAATCAAAGCCTTCTCTTTAATACTGGTCATCTAGAACAGAGTTTCCCAATTTTGGCTACACATTAGAATGAGACGATGACTTTAAAAAAAAAAAGTCACAATACCTATGGTAGGCCCTACCCCCAAATAATCTAATCAATTTCAGGATTGGGGGTTTAGGCATCTGTATTTTTGAAAATAGACAAAGTTAAATTATTTTATGCCACCAAACTAAGAACCAGTGGTCTTGAAATAATAAGATGACCAAGTGGAGCTACTCTTAACTCTTAGTCTTGTCTCCAACAAGTTCTTTCTATTCATGTAAAATATCTACTGCATCCATTAAACAGTAGATATAGCAATATACTATATATTTAAATATATAGTATATTTAAAATTTTTCTAAAAAAATTAATAAAAATTATAATAGTAAAACATTCCATACAAATAATCACATTAAAAAATTACCTTCAACTTTTCATTTTCCAGCTCAATATTAGCCATTTTTTCACTGGTCAGTATTCCCGATGCTTTTTTCAACTGTTCATTTTCCCTCTGGACTTTTTCAACTACTTTTTTCATTAAACCAATGGTTTTTTCTAGTTCTGGGATTGTCTTTCCACTTCTACCAGACTACAAAAGAATATGTTAGCTTTTCATTTAATCAAATATTTTAGAAAGTATAATATAAAATACCAATAACATAATAGGTTCATTATTATACTCATTGCTGATTCCTAATATTTGAAGCCAAACCTTGTATTACTTCAATTCATCATGACAATAACCCTATGAGATAGGAATTATAATTCTCACTTTACATACAAGAAAATCAAGACTCAGAGAATTTGATATTCCTAAAGACATGCAGCTAATATGTAACACCTTAGTCTAGCCTTGATGTCTGTTCCAAATGATTAAACCTAAGAACCTAAATATTCTATTTAGCTAATATTCTTTCCAGCATACCAGAGTTTTTTTCATAAGGAATAAAACCACAAAGGAAAAATTGTGTCTTTAAAGAGCTCACGTGTTAACAAATTCAAATTGCAGCATAACAGAGGCAATTTTCCCTAATAGCCACTGATTAGAAATTCAGGGCCAGCCAGCCTCAATAGCCTAGTGGTTAAGTTTAGCATTAGTTCGGCGGCCTGGGTTCAGTTCTCGGGCGCGGACTTACACCACTGTCTGTCAGTGGCCATGCTTGGTGGTGGCTTAAGTACAAAGAGAGGAAGACTGGCAATAGATGTTAGCTCAGGGTGAATCTTCCTCAGCAAAAAA